AATGTTTCTCATCATTCCACGCAGAAAATACCCACCTTCAAGGACATGTGGCCCGCGTCCACAGTGTACATGGCATTGGTCGCCAAATAGCCCGCACCAGCAAGGCCCTGAGGAAAGCAGACCCTGGAAAGGTGATGTTTGGAAGGACCCACGTACACGATGAATATGCAATGCAATGTATATGTTCATATATAAATATGAATCTAAAAATAAATATGTATATGTATATGTAAGTATGAGTATGTATGCGTGTATGCATGGATGTATGTAAATGTATGTAATGTAATGCAATACAAGGCAATGGAATTCAGGTAATGAAATGTAATGGAATGTAATGTATTTTGATGTAATGTGATGTGATGTGATGTAATGTAGTGTAAGTGTGTGTGTGTGCATGCATGCATGCATGCATGCATGTCTGTATCTGTGTATGTGTGTATGTCTGTATGTGTGTATTAGTTTATGAGTGTGTGAGTGTATGAGTGTATGTGTGTGTGTGTATGTATGTATGTACGTACGTACGTACGTATGTACGTACGTATGTATGTATGTATGTTTGTTTGTGTGTGGGTGTGTGGTATGGGTATGTATGGGTATGTATGGGTATGTATGGGTATGTATGGGTATGTATGGGTATGTATGGGTATGTATGGGTATGGGTATGGGTATGGGTATGTATGGGTATGTATGGGTATGTATGGGTATGTATGGGTATGTATGGGTATGTATGGGTATGTATGGGTATGTATGGGTATGTATGGGTATGTATGGGTATGTATGGGTATGTATGGGTATGTATGGGTGTGGATGGGTGTGGATGGGTGTGCATGGGTATGTATGGGTATGTATGGGTATGTATGGGTATGTAGGGGTATGTAGGGGTATGTACGGGTATGTACGGGTATGTACTGTAATGTACGGTAATGTATGGTAATGTATGGTAATGTATGGTAATGTACTGTAATGTAAATGTAAATGTAAATGTAAATGTAAATGTAATGTAATGTAATGTTGTGTATGTATCTATGTATGTATGTATGTATGGATGGATGTATGTATGTATGTATGCATGTATGCATGTATGCATGTATGTATGCACGAAAGCAAGTATGTATATACATGCATTAATATAAATATGAATGTGAATATGAATATGAATCTGCATCTACATTTATATCTATATCTATCTATATATATATATATATAAAAATGTATTAATTTGATATGTATACTTGGATCTTCAATTGCTACATGTTTTTTGATCGTTTTGAGATTTGCCCATTTCAAAAATTTCCAGAACAATTGGAAATTGACATGCTCAATTTTTTGAAAAATGCTCCTTAAGCTCTATTGGCAGACTTCTTTTCTGAATTTACGCCTGATTGGGCTTATTTGCGCTTGATTGCGCTTATGTGCGTCCAAAATTGCGGCCGTGTTTTTTGCTCCAAATCGCTCTCAGATATTGAAAATGTTCGCTATTTCTGATTTTGATAACGATCCTGGATATATGCTCGAAAGCCCCAAAAGTACAAGGTAGCAAAAAAATAATGTAACGATTGAAGACCAGGTATATATTACATATATATGTACATTCGTCTATATACACACGCTATGTATTCGTATACGTGCAGAAATGTGAGCTTGCAACAACAACAGAGATGCTGCCTGAAACCAGGAAGGCTTCCAAGCAGAACTGCGGTCCCTGTCTCCAAGGTATCCCAAGGATGGGCACTCCTACTTGTCACTAGGGTTGGTTCATCCTCGAATTTCCTAATCAACGCGTTTTGGAAAGCTCAATATATAGTTGTGTTTCACCCCCTCCAAAAAAAAACTGACCGGACCAAGAACATCCCATAACCATGTTGGGCAGCTTCAACCCCATGCTTGTGTGGTATTATACCTTTTGATCCCCGCTAGTTGTAGCCCACCTTTGTATCTTCTGTCAAATCAGAATCAGTTCCAAAATTCTACCACATCACAAAAAAACATTAAAAAAAAAAAACAACAACAATCAACAATCCATCAAACCTGCAACAACCATCCCCTTTTTTTGCCGCGCTTCCCCTTCCGGCTCTAGGCTCCCCCGGCGGCCGCACCGACCAAGGCAGGCCCTGTGGACGCAGCTCTCTGGAGCCTAGGGAAGAACGACTTTTATAGCCTATTTATAGCCATGAAATGCCACTGGACCATGAAATAAGTTCCATCCAGTTACAACTCAGTTCATTAATGGATCGTAAGGGTCTAATCAGCTTCGACCAATGGATCTTAATGGTCTCTTAGTGGTCTCTTAGTGGTCTCTTAGGACAGCTGGAGAGGACTTTGACACAGAAAATAGCTGGATATTTAATGGATAACTAATGGTAATGGACCATCACTATTAAATGGCAATTCACTGATCACCCAGCTATTCAATGATAAACCACATATTTGATGCTCTTAAAGGATATTTCATAATAACGGATATCTAAATAATGGATATTGTTAATTCATATCACTATTTCGGGTGAGTAGTAAGTGGTTTATCGTTCTATATGTTTTGAATGATTCTTTTAGTGGAGAGACACCGTGCCGTGTACAAGTATCATGAAATAGCTGGGTTTTTGATATCCATTAGTTACTGTACAGTAAGTAAATGAACTATTCTGAACGATGACTATGAATGGTTATATCATACTGGGTAGTAATAAACTACCATTGAAGAATAAAGAATAAGGATAATAAGCATATGGGCCAATGATTTAATAGTTATCAAATATTCATTTTTTACCATCTATGACCCCATCAACTGGATTATATAGTTATTCTGTATTCTGACTAATATTGTAGTTGATGGGCTAATTTGTATGGGGTTCATTGGGTTGGTGGGGTTGATATACCCCCAAATATCAGGCAATATGATATTCAGGGGGATTGAAATGGATTGAATACCCCCATGTCGCTGACCCCCGCAGGAATACATGGTTTATAAATGTTAAGACGTCAACGTGATTGGTGGATGTTGGTGGCGGTTAATCAGCCCTAATATTGGGATTGATGGGGTAGTTTATATCGGATAATCCCAAATATCTTGCAACTTTTGATGAGTGAATATTGTTAATAATAATTATTGATGGGTGAATATTGTTAATACTAATTGTTGATTTTCTAAATTGGTATCCCAGCTGGATTTACCTTTTTTTTACGCACAGACCCTGTGGTTTGCTCAGACTGCAATATTAAGGATGCCCTGTTGTCGAAGATGATAAGAGAGACTGCGGAAAATACTGCGTATACGCAGTGTTTTCCAGTTTAGGATTTGGATTTTTCAGGATTTAGTGTTTTTCGGGTTTAGGGTTTTAGGTTTTCAGGTTCCGGGTTTTAGTGTTTTCAATTTAGGGTGTAGGGTCCGTGGTCTCCGAAGTGTCAAAACATAGGGTCTTGCCGTTATGTTAGATAGCCACCACTAGAAACCCTGGTTTAGCATTGGATCCATTTAGGGGTTCCATATTGGGGGTATTTCATATTAAGGGGATGGGATTATTCCCAACATCAGTCACTGTTGGGGCTTCAATCTATGGGTATGGGGCTCTGTGCCGTTTTTGAACCCTGGAACCCAGGAACCTCCAATGAGTTGCAAAGCTGGCTGAAAACAAATGCCCATCCCATGCCCACATTTACCTTTGCTGAAGATTGAACCGTGGGTCCATTGGTACCCCATTTTTGAACCATACACCTACCGTTCCCCACTGTTGCATTTCTGTTCATTGGGGGATCATCACCCCATGCTGGTAAAACCATGTCAATAGGTATCACCTATGGCTTAAAAAATCGTAAAATAGGTTTAGATACCCAATAATTTGGTTTATCCCTATGGGTTAAAGAAGGTTAAAGTAGGCATCGGTTAAGATAGGTTGAAATCGACCCTGAATAAAACCAGGTAGAACCTCCACCCCCTTGATGAAGCCCTCCAAGTGCAGCGCAGCTTTTGGAGTCGTTCCATACCCGACCTGAGCCGCAGGCAATCTACCAATTCAAAATGGTTGGCCCATTCTGAACGTGTTTTAATTTATTATATACTTCATGTACTTTTAGGGTCAAATTACACCTAATAAGCATCACAATTTTACCCCAATGCTCACCTAGTAACTTAGTAGCACCATCTTACTAATCTTACTCACCTAATGTGCCAATTTACTTGTTTCCTCTGAACAAAATCATTTGACGGTGAGGTTTGTTGAGGCTCCAACATGGTGCCAGGATGACTTCTGGTCCTTCGCTGAACAAAACCGCACCCTTTGCGCCTTGAGCCACAAAATAAGGAGGTGAATAGGTGTGTGTATGGTATGGTGTGGTGTGGCGTGGTGTGGTATGGTATGGTATTGTAGCGTACCGCACCGCACCCGCATTTGTATTTGTATTTGTATTGTATCGTATCTTATCATATCGTATGTATGTATATATATATAATTATATATATATTAGTTGAAATAAGGCCTTTTGGGGATGATTCTCCTTACTAACCATCATTCCATTGGCGACACAGTGAGGTTACTTCAATTTATCCAGATGTACAGATTTGTTAAATTAGGTGAAACGTTGATTTGACAAAGGTATTACATTAATTTACAGTAAAGTATTTCCCAGCAAATGGAAACGTACCACATCTACCACTCAGGTTTGTTTAAGTTAAACCCCTTCATATAATCCAGGGGTGGTTTGGGACCAAGTTCCATGGTGCCAATCAAATGGGGACTGAAAAGCAGCCGCGCGTTTCGATTTTCGGCTGAGAAATCCGCAGATTTCAAGCATCGGCTGCCCATCACGGATCGCCCTCACGGATCGCCCATCCCCAGTGTTCCATTTTCCAAGACATGGGTCAAAATTGAAGACCTTCAATCTCCCCAGGATTCCTGATCAACATCCAGCTGGATCAGGGAATTTTTAGAAGAATTTTGTCGAATTTTGACCCAGACTTTTTGGATTCACAAAAAACTAGAAGTCACACCGCGCAGCTCACGCGTTCAGGCTCCTCCAGCTGCGAGACCCTGGCCTGGACATCGAAAGGATCCAAGGGAAGGACTTAAAGATTATGCACGCTGCACAACCCATGTTGCTTCCAAGGATATTCATAAGTACATCATACTTATATACGTACAACTTTGTTAAATCATAATTGCATGGATGGAGTATCAAATAACCATTAGATAACACATTCCATCCTCGGCTTGACCATCCACATGTTCACCAGGCCAACCCTGTATTGACCCATGCAACCATGCATACGTGTTGGGGATTATATGTATATGTATGGGATATAGTTCATGGGGATATAATGGGAACGTAATGGGGATACTCTATATATATATGTTAGGACCTACTGGTATGCATATATACACCATCTAGTGGGGATTTAACGAGGATATAACAGGGATAGTGGGATAGTGGGACAACGGCTAGATATATATATATAATATATATATATATACCGACCAACAATCTGATATTCGAGTGTCTGAAAATGGAATGTACCTCCAAATGGCCAGCAAATAACAATATATAAAGGAACATGACATGATGAAACACCACTCTATTATACTCTATTTAGGGTATCCTATTTTCAGACGAACCCACAATGGTACACGATGGTAAACGCCGTCCCCATCCACCAGAAATCGATGGGCATTGACCGTCAACAATTGTGGATTTTCTTGTCGGGTTTTCCGCATTATGACGTTACAGGATGCTATAGACGTTCTAGGTCAGAATTGGGTAGCCAAGAAATGCATGGCTTAGTGCTAAACATCTGTGGTCCACCATGAATGTTGTAATATGTCATACATATGTTGACCCGTACCCATTTCTGCACTGGTCGACATGGTAAATGGGGTATACCCAAATGGGGTTCCATAAAATGGGGCCAATTACCGCCAAATCATCCAAATTTAGACCATTTCAGCATTGTTTCCTACTAGTATGGTTTTGGGGATCCCCCATTGGAAAAAATC